TTCTTATTAACTAGGCTTCATTTATTTAAAAGATCTTTATTTTTATACCCGGTTCGATTCCGGATCCAGTATGGTACGGTTCCGAGTCCATATAAAGACTCGGTTTCACGTGACGGGTCTGGCACGGTTCTTAATTAAACCCGCCCGGAACCGACTTTGCGGAACACTAGCGGATCCGGGTATTACGGTTCTGGTTTGCGGAACACTAGTTTACTAAACTGTTTTGCTTAATTGTCACATCCCATAAAAACCCAGCTGGCGTTAAGCATAATTTTGGGCAGCGCTAACCCTAAATTCTAATGTGTGTGACAAATAATCAAAACAGTATATAAAATCACATCTATACCATACTGGTCTGCGAAACTCCTGATCTGGTCACCTAGTATCCGTTTTACCTCTTTTTCACCATGTACAGCATGCATAATTGCTTGTGAGAAATTCTTGGCTACAATGAATTAGGCATTATATTGTTTTCTAGAAAATAATTTTAATTCATACGTAGCTTTAAGATATTAATCGCTTCTGCAACTTGTTTTCATGTGTTGCATACATTCGGATCATTCGGATTATTTACGCCAAATCATGTAGTGATTTTTACTAATTTTAGACTTAACTATATATTATCGTTATCATTGTGAAGGCAAGAAAATAATGTCTTGGCAATAAAATCGGATGATAAAAAAAAACGGGTTTAGAATATTTCATTTATATATATAAAAATATCTAGAATATTCAATTTCATTTGTATAGATGCATCCCCTGCCTTAATAAGGGGCATTACAACATCATTTTCATACGCTATATAAAGGGATGTTTTTTTCGTCAGATCTTTAAACTTCTCTATTTCCAAATTTATTCCTTACAAATTTTACTGTTTTCTTGAAAATTCATAAATTTAAATTAATTTTTCTTGAAAAATTTAAATTAAATTCGTCATGGCAGTTGCACAAGAACACTGGGTACGTTTTCATAGAAAAATATTTGTGATACAAATGTTACAAATATTAAAAATATTGACTATGCTTTCTTCTTAAAACAGGCCGCTAAATGGATTAAATATAATGGATGTCTCCCTCATGATGCTTTTAAAGTAGACCATCGTGCTATTGGTCGTGGACAATATGAGGGTGGCATTCACATTGGTTATGTTGAACCAAATCAACATAAATTAATTATTGGTTGGGGTTGGAATCAACATGAATTACATGATTTTGAAGTTTTGTGTGGTGATTATAGTCAATTTAAATGGCATCATAGGTAAATTTTCTTTGCAAATGTGCTAGTTGGTAATTCAAGCAATTACAAGTGCAACTCTAAAATAACCAATTCCGAATTTAGTGAGGGAGCCTGTCGACCACAATTTTTCATCCCTTTGAAAGCTGGCCATGAAAGTGATGGAAAAGAATTATATATCGCCAAAGCCCACTATAATAATGAATGGAGAATCGGTAAAGCTGGTCAGGTAAGTTTTCTGACTATTATTTTTTTTATTTTTATCTATTTTATTTATCTATTTATTATTTATCTATTTATTATTTATCTATTTAGCATCTGGTTGATGGAATGTCGTTTGCGATTGACTGTAAAGAAGTTGTTCAACGGAATTATGAAGTGCTAGGTTTTCTAAATTAATTCTTCTTTTTTATTTTCATCACATTGAAACATTTTTTTTTTATGCTTAAAAAAAATAATTTGTGGACTTTGTAATTCCATGAATTCAAAGTATTGTAAGAATTAAAAATAAATGGGAAATTTTCTTTAAAATATCATGTGTCACGTTTTACTCTACTTTATATCATAGTAATTTTGTCACGTGTTCACTAACGGTGCAAATATCGAAAGTTCGAAATTTTGAACGTCATCTAAGACAAACAATCATTAACACTTTATTAAAGCTTCCCAAAATTTGATAAAATCAAATATACTACATATAATAATATATAATAATATATAATACGTAATAAATTTACAATTTAAAATATGTACATAAATTTTTATCACATGATAAATTTTAGAAATTTATGTATTGGTTCTCGTAACCCAGTCTGGTCGAATTTTTTAAAAAAATAAAAAAAAATTTTTCAACGTATGAAAATAAAATTAAGAACCAATTTATAACTTTTAGATGGCCTCGTCCAAAAAAACGATTGATGTGAATTATATTTATGACAAAAAACTATCCTCCATCTCAGTGATTAGTTGGTATAGTTTCTTTATACGACCAACGTGATCAATTGGAATTACTGACATTGCGTAGTATCTAATTGTGCTTCGTTCTACCTTCGTGCTTCGCTCTGTATATGTTTCACTTTTTGCGCGACATTTGATAATGTAAGATTTAAAGCGCGCCTCTTCAAAGCAGGCATCATAAAGATCTTCATCCTCATGCTCCAGTCGGACAAGTTCTTTTGCTTCGCGCTTCATAATACTAACTGCAGGCTCATTAAATAATTTTAACATCACACTGTCAGTAGAGTCCGCAACATTTGCCGTAATTATATATTTATATTCGGGTTCAGGATAAGACTGCATACATTTCACGCATCGCCATTCACTGTTGTCTTCAATAACTTTTTTACTGCATGTAGGGCAGGCTGGGTATGAAATAGTGCCTTTTTTTACATTCAAAACGGTTACCAGTATTGAAAAATAATCAAAATTACTGCTTTGACCAAGTCTTTCGTATTTAACTTGTTCTAACGTTTTGATGTCATCTACGTATTGCACTCTAGAACTTGATATATTCAAAGAGGTAAATTTTGAATACATTCCATCGGAGTTATACCAATCGCGTAATTCCTTCGTTTCTTGAATATTAGGATCAATTATGATTGTGCTATCAAATATCGCTGTAAGACTCCTTCCATTAAAATCTCCTACACGTACATTCTTGCATGCGATTATATGATTTGCAATAGAACTGTCGAATTTTTCGGCTTGTAAACTCCACAAAGTTAATGCAACCTGATATTTACTTTGATCACCAATTATAATGCTACGTTTATTGACATTTTTCCGTGTGGTTCTAGTCGTTATTTCCTGAATATCGCTAACATCAATAACGATGCCTATAAGATCGATTATGTCATCTTTTTCATATTCAAATAAATCGGCGATTTGAACGAAATTGAATGGAATAAATACGTGAGGATCCTTATTAAGAACCTCTGTAATTATAGTTTCTCTTCCAAAAATCAGTTCGTAATCATTTTTGACTGTCGAAAATTTTTTGTTGGCCATATTGATTCTTGCTTTCGAAATTGTGTATAATTTTCCCACTTGTAGTTTATCATAAAAATCATCAACTTGTTGTTCGAAAGCCGTTGCCCGAATTTCTCCACTACTATCAAAAAGAACTACTGCGAACCATCTTCCGCTTCCATTATCATTTTGCCAATATTTTATATCGGTCTTTG